GCTGGTCCACCTCTGCGATTGCAACTGACCAGCCTTCGTACTGTGGAGTGGTAGCTCGATGGGGATACGCCCACCAAAGGGAGGTGACAGCTCCCTTAAGGTGGAGGTAAGTCGTGCCTCGCGTAGGCCCTATCCTGTCGTAGGGGCTCGCAATAGGTATGGCTGGCGCACTCGGCGGGAGCGGCTTGCGGAAGCTCCATGTGTATATTCGCGACGAGGATTTAGACCAACTCCCGCGTGACGTGGCGTGGAGGGTCCCACGCTGCCTTGTGTGGTGCCGGACCGATGCGCTCGACAGTTGGCGCCGTTGCCGGGGATCTCATTTTTTAGGTCCTGAAGAGATCGGACCCAGGCCAAGGGTAGATGGGCGATCTAGGCAAAACGACATGTGAATTGATTTATATAATAAATGATTTAGGATTACTCTAGGAAAAGTCCGGTTAAGATTAAGAGATTACCCCTATCCCTGTCCAGGTTGGAAAAAGGGTGATTTTAAGTTAGTGGTATTGTGGGTAGGCTAAGTGAGGTCTCAGTTGGTAATGATATTACAAAGTCGATTAGTTGCTGAATGGAGTGATTGCTTCTTTTTCTTATCAGGGGTTCTGACTCGAAAAGGCCAGGAGAAATGGTTGAAGCCAATTCTGTCGGTGGTGGGAACAAGATAACACTCGACGACTTGGTCAAGGCTTTGGATCGGCGAGATTTGGCTCGTGGTAGTGTTCCGAAGGTTAAGACCTTCTTGTTCAAGGGAGAGCGGGTTTCAGATTGGCTCGAGTTGGTCGAGCAGGCGATGGTTGGAGTAGCGGACGTGGTGAAGTTTCAGCGTATCTTGGTATACCATGGTCTGCACGAAGAAGTCAAGAAGGTTATAGCGGCATCAAATGACGGTTGGTCCCGATTTAAGGATGGGATGCAGAGGAAATATCAGTTGGGTGATGGGCTGCTAACGGCGGCGGAGCTGGAAGCCCTTAACCGGAATGACTACACCACCGTTGGGGCGCTGGCTGAGGACTTTAAGAAAAAGGCAAGAAAGGTCCCAGGGATTTCGAAAGAGGAACAATGTGCCATCTTCCTCGGGTTGTTCAAATCTATGGAGGCCCAGGAGCTCACAAGCAAGGGAGGGGGAGGTGAAAAGCTTACCTGGGCTACGATTGACAAAGGAGTGCAGGAAGGTGACTTGAACGAAGTCCACCAGTTCCAAATGCGCCAGCACAGGAAGAAGCGCAAGGAACGGGATGCGGGAACTACGAGAGCCCCAGATATGAAGAACGTTGTATCGGATGTTTTATCAGAATTGGGGATTTCTAAAGATCAGATAGAACAGAGGAAGGTGGTGACCATTGTCCAAGGTTGGGGAAAAGAGGGTGTAGGAGAGGAAGTTGGGCAGGAAAACTATGGCAAGGAGGAGACGGGATCCCAGACCCTCACTAAGGCGCAGTGCCAGCAGCGCAATTTATTGCTAGGAGGGCAGGGCTCTGGAAAAGCGCAGATCCCACAAGCGATTGTAGCGCCATCGCCCAATGCCGCGGGCTCATCTATATCAGCAATGCCTTCACAAATGGGGCCACCATTGCCATATGGACAGTGGCCGCCCTTCTGCCATATGGCACCCTAGCCCATGTGTAACCCCTACAACTCATGGGGAGGAGGCCAAGTATCCTCAGGGCAGATGGTGCCCTATTCGGGCTCGCCGGCGAGTGCGGGGCCACCAAGCTTTCCGGCGGCTCAGGGGCAATTTGCAGCCCAGCCTCCACCCACGCAGCAAGCATCGCAGGCTAGCATGGTAGGAAGGGGGAACCAGGGACAGGGTGGACAGGGGAATGGCGACAGAGGTCAAGGTGGACGAGGGGGTGAAGAAAGAGGACAAGGGCGAAATGGCGGAGGCCGTGGTGGGGGATGGAATGGCCAAGGAGGTCAAGGCCAAGGCAACCAAGGCGGTCAGGAAGGGGGCCAAGGATATGGAAGGCCCCGCTTTGATTGGCGGAATGCCATTTGCCGGCATTGTGGCATTATAGGTCACACCATACGATTTTGCCAGCAACGGCGGGATGACGAACTTTCCGGACCAAGTTCCACCAATATGGATGGGGACATATACGATAACTTCGGGAAGTATATTGAACCAAGGACTCCGGGTGGAGTCAGGCAAGAGGCCCTTAGGCGAGCAGCGGTACGACCAGCACCCCCGACGATGTTCAAATTATGGCAAGAAAGACAGGACTCGGCCGTAAGGGTCGAGGAGATCGTGGAGGAGAGTGAGGAGGTGACCCAGCGACTAAAGGCGGGGACTATAAAGGAAGAGCCAATAGTCGTTGAATCGAATGATGAGAAATTGGGAGAGATGAGAGAGTCGGCCATAACCATCTTGGGGAGGATGGAGGATTTGCTAGAAAAGGTGAGTAGGTACCAGCAAAAGTTGAAAGACTTGTGTGATGAAACCCAGGAGTGGAAGGCCAACCTCCCCGGACTCTTCCTCTATGAGTCCGGACCTGGGCCGACATCAGGGCAGCAGGGGTATCCTGGGTTTGCGACGGTGGGGTCAGGCCCTAGGTCGGGGATGGCCTATAGGCCCCCCACTTCGCATGGAAGAGTGCCACAGGCAGCACGAACCAGAGGCCTGAGCAAGGCTGGTACTAGTCAAGTGCACAGCCAGGCGCCTAGTCAGGCACTCCCTCGAAGGGAACCTGAGCCCGAGCGTAGGAAAGAAGTGGTGGAGGTCCCGGAAGAGGAAGATGAGGATGACGATGAAGAGGATGAGAGGCTCCGGCAAGAAGAAGATCGACGAGCAGAGCTAAGGGCCAGGAAGAGAGGGGCTCAGGAGGAAGCCGAGCCGAGCCAGTGCGACAGTGTACCTAAAAGGAAGAAGTACGCGGTTCGGCTAGAAGAGGGCTTCGACGTGGAAAGAATGGTGGACAGGCTTCTAGAAGGTCATGATGACCTTATGAACCTAAAGGATATTCTGACGTCCGCCCCAAGGCTCCGAGATAGCTTGAGGGGACGAATCTCGCGGAGGTTAGTGCCCAGCGTCCATCTGAGTACAATCCTGCCAAGAGAAGTAGAGTGGACGGAAGCAGGAACGAGGATGGACTGGAAATGTGTGGCGTGTGGTTTGGTGGACTTGGTGGTGAGGGACCAGAAGTGTGTTGCGATGTTGGATACGGACACCGAGATGAATATCATTCAGGAAAGGGATGCGATTATATTAGGATTGGAGGTCGACCGCTCGGACCATGGGGTACTGCATGGCGCTAATTGCAAGGCGTTTTTTTGCGGCACGACATCTAACGTAATTGTGGAGATCTTTGTCATGCCAGACGTTGATCATCCTATACTCTTGGGGAGATCGTTCCTGTGCAGGACAAAAACTTTGATTTTCAATAAGCATGACGGGGCAATGATCCTGCTGATAAGTGATCCGGCCTGTGGGAATTATGAGGTTATCACCTGCTGAAATACAGGGCCAGGGAGTGGGAGGAATAGGCGTAACCTCGGCTCGTTCACTTATGAGGAATCTGAGAACGAGCAGCGTAGGCTCTGGGAGGCGCCTGAGGAGGGAAGAGGGGCCGAAGTGCTGTCACTGAGCCTCACTGATGTGAATAAAGCCATGGAAGTGGTGGCAGCACATGACATGGCGGACCCCGAGGCCATCAATGCATTGAGGGAGCAGGTTCTGGAGAGCCCTCATGTGGGAGAAGTGAAATTGATCTACCGGCTTCCCGGTGGGAGAGGAGGCCCTGCGATGGCGCAGGCACAAACAACAAGCCGGTTTTTTTTAGGGGACGGCTTAAGCAAAGCTCCCAAAGGCGGTACAAGACGGTAGAAAAGAGGTGCCGCCCAGTTCCCGTGCTCGTTACGGAGGATGAGGAGGCCTATTACGAGTGAGAGCGAGGATTGATACGGCGCATGCGGGAGCAGGCATCAAGTGGTTCATGCCGTATCAATGATGAGAACGAAAGGAAGCTGATAATTGGAGAGCCCGACTTCCTTTCACCCCAAGAGAAGACTCTGATGGTGAGGTTAATGAAGAAGAGGCATCGTGCGTACGCCTTTAATGATGATCAGCGTGGGAGGCTGGATGTGGACAAAATCCCGATGATTCGGATCCACACCGTCCCACATGAGCCATGGAATCTGAGAGGCGCGCGATATCCTAACCCTGACGAGGAAAAGATGGTGGTGGACTACCTGGATGGCAAGATGCGCACGCATGTTGCTGACTACTCCAGCGGACCGTATGTTTCCCCTTGGTTTTGCTTCGTTAAGCCGAATGGGACGTTGCGGTGGGTACAGGACTTGCAACGGCTAAATGTCGTGACAGTGCGAGATATCGAACGCGGACGCACTGTCAGAAACATGCGCGGGGAGACCTATAATTTAGCTTATAGACCTTTATTGTGGATATGGCCAATTTCCTCTATACCCGCCGGATAGACCAGTAATAGCCATGCATACGCCGAGAGGGCTAATTCATATGAATGTAGCCCCTCAAGGTTGGACCAATGCAGTGGTGATGGTGCAAAGACATATGATTAGAGTCATGCAGACGGTCAGTCCGCACATCACCCAACCTTACATTGATGACTTGGCAGTCAAAGGCTCGAGAGAGAGAGAGGAAGACAAAGTGATGCCTGGAGTAAGGCGTTCTGTCTGGAGGCATATTCAAGACCTGTCTCTTATACACATCTAGATGTGTATAAGAGACAGCCTTACAGCAAGTGACCCAAAATCCAAGCATTGCATGAGGGAAGACAAAGTGATGCCTGGAGTAAGGCGTTCTGTCTGGAGGCATATTCAAGACCTTGTAATGAGAGTGGTCGGAGGCTAGATGTGAAAACAGACAAGATATCGAGTGGTCGGTACCCTTCCGCTCGATAACAGATGTGAGGAGCTTCCTCGGGACTTGTGGATTTTTTAGGAGTTTCGTGAAAAACTTTGCCGCCAAGATTGAGCATTTGCGGAAGCTGGTACGTTAGGATCAAGAATGGGTTTGGGGTGAGGATCAGGAAGAGGCCGTGAAGAGAATGAAAGGGGAGTTCAAGGAAGGAGGCTTGGTGTTAGGGGCGCCGAACTACGAGGTTACAGAGGTAAAGCCATTCATCATCGATACGGACGCTGGGCCAACTGCCCTAGGAGGAGATCTGGTTCAGGCAGATGCTGAAGGGAAGGAGAGGCCGCTAAGATTCGAGAGTCTGACACTTAATACGACTGAGAGGAACTACTCCCAGTTTAAAAAGGAGACGCTTGCGGTACTCCATTGCCTGAGGATCTTCCGGAACTATGTCTTTGGCAGGAGGTTCATATTGAGGGTGGACCCCACTGTGCTCGCCTGTTCCCTGAAGGATTATACACTCCATCTGACCCAACCGTCGCAAGATGGTTGGCATACATTTGGATGTTTAACTTTGAGCTGGAGAGAATTCCGAGGGACAAGAACAGGGCAGATGGCCTGAGCCGCATCAACTGGGACAGGCCAGATCAGGAATCAGTAGAGGATACTCCACCAATTGATGTTTTTTTTTACCAAGAAGAGGATGTCCGCCTCCATATTAACGAGTGGTCCTTGCGAGTGCCTAATTGTGTCAGTCACCCCATATAGCTAGCGCCTAGGGGATATGAGCAAAAGGCGGAGTTAGTCCTCAAACCCTTTCAGGAGGACCCCTGGGGAGGCATGACGTTTACTGGATGATGGAGTTGGCGCTGGCGGGTACACATAGTTTGGCGGAAGAAGTGAGGACGATAGAGGAGGGCCCTACTCAGGTGGAGGAGCATGAGCAGTTGATGGGGGGAATGTATCTCCTTACAAATACGCTTCTGTAAGGGGATTTCGATAGAAGAGGCTCATTGAATCCGGCTGAAGGTGAGGATTTTGTGCCTGAAAGTCAGGATGACGAGTTTGAGGAAGGAGAGATCAAAGAAGCTTTCCGGGCAGAGGAATATGATGGGATCTACCTTGAATTCGGGCTACTCCTGTCCTGTGAGATGAGGGATAGAGATGCAAGTGCCAAGGCACAGAAGATGATGCATCTCTATGTGGTGAGAGATGGCCATTTGTTTATAAAGCGACAAGTCGGGAACCCCAAGCGAATTGTATGCAGGAGGAACCGACAGATCGATATTATCGCAGCATTGCACGATGACATAGCAGGAGGGCACAGAGGGGTAAATGCCACGTACGCTAAGATAGGCGAGTTATATTACTGGAGTGGAATGTTGGACATGGTCATCAAATACTGCCAGTGTTGTGTACCTTGCCAAGAGAGATCGACGCAGAGGCCAGGGGAACCCTTACACCCAAGGTTGAGAGAGCAGTGAGCGCAGTTGTACATCTGGATCTACTCTTCATGCCAGTTGGGGAGAACGGGTATAACTATATCTTCGATGCGCGGGATAACCTTACTGGGTTTGTGGACGGTCGGGCCATTCGCACGAAGACCGACCCAGTTTTGGCAAGCTGCATCGAAGAGTATTACCTACGCTACCCTTTAGTCAAGGAATTCGTGATGGATCGAGGATCAGAGTTCACCAGCAAAGAGGTGCAAACTTTGCTTGCAGGATATGGCATGGTGACAAATTATACTACCGCTGCACATCCTCAAGCGAACACACCAGTAGAAAGGGCGCATAGTACTATCACAAATCTCCTAGCTAAGTGGACAGAAGGTAGATCCGGTCAATGGCCGAAGTTCTTGTGAGCAGCCCTCTTCGTTGAGAACGTCCCGGTGAAGAGGACTCCTAAGTACGCACCAGCCACTCTATGGTATGGGAGACATGCCACCTTTCCCATAGAAAGCTTCTTGAAAACCTGGAGGCGCCAAAACTTGGAAACCAACTTGTCTTTCGAGGAGTTGCTCGATATTCGGGCACAACAGGTGGGTGCTGCTGAAGAAAGGATACGCGAGGCCTCCAATCAGGTGGAAAGGAGCCGCATGGAGGATAAGATGCGGTGGGATCAGATGGCGTGAGTGCGAAAGGAACCATTGGCAGTTGGGGATGTCGTATTGCGGTACGATTCTTCTTTGGAAAAGCAATGGTCGAGGAAGCTTGATAAACGGTGGTTGGGACCCTGTAGGATCGTGCGATGCTGCGAGTTCGGAGCCTACCAGATTGAGGAGTTGGATGGAACCGAATGGAAGGATTGGGTGTCAGGGACAAGGTTGAAGAAATTTGTGGCCAGGGAATAGGTAAATAGCTCTATACCCCTTAGGATAAACCTTGTCTAAAAGTGTCACATGGCCTGGTTAGACTAGAAAGAAGGGTTGAAGGGATAGGTGTGTCTAGATTAAGGGAGTGCTCGCTGTAAATCTGATGGACCTGCTTGCTGACTCTACTGTGTGCCTGTTTGCTCTCTCTCGCCTATTGTGCAGATCTGACTTTTCGAAGACAGTCATGCAGAGGGGCGGGAGGGATGCACGACCACGACAGAGACCTCTGGGGGCTTCTGGAGGGGACGACCAACACAGGCCATTCAGGAGGGAGTCTACGCCTGTCTTTGACGATGATAACATAGAGCTCTTCTTGGATGCCTATCAGGGGCATGCGACACGGAGAGGATGGACCACTTTGGAGATGATACGGAACCTGAGGGGAGCTGGACGTTTCGAGGAGCCTATCGCACATATCCGTGAGGAGGCATTGACCTGGCCAGATGTAGAGGCGAGGATGCAGAGGCTGAGGGCTTCGCCGATGGGGTGCGATGGCCTGCCTATCCGATTGGAGGAAGGCAATGCAGGGGAGTTCATCCCAGCCTACGAACGGTATATACGCGATCAGGGAATTGCGCAGGAGGAGTGGATGTAGACATTGCTCCTTTGGACCAGAAGGGCAGAAAGGCCAGTGGCAAGACAGATCCGGGATAGGGCAAGCGATTGGGAGGACTATCAGGCTCAGTTGCGACAGGCGTTTTGACAGCCAGAGCATGAGAGGCCAAGCCTAGGGTCGAGAGGAGGCGAAGGAGTAAGAGGACGAGGGATCCAGAACCAACGGAGACCATCGCGACTAGGGGAGGCCGGAAGGCTTTGGCGCGACGAGAGGAGGAGTCAGTGGTGCCTGCTCAAGTAGTGGAGTCATTCCCTGCTTGTGGACTTAGGCAAGTGGAGTTTCGTCCGATTACCAGCCAACAGTGATCTGCAGGGACCGTCGCTGCGATCGCCGGAGCGGGAAGAGGGTGGACCATCAGAGATGCCATTCAGGAGTCTAGAGGCCCACCTTGATGCATCTCAGTGGGGGGCCCCACAATTGAGCGTGGATCTG